CTCCGATCAAGTCTTCCTCTTGAGGGGAAGCCCATAAGTCACTGAATGTCTTCTTGAAGTGCAGATTCCAGGCGCGAGTACCTCTCACTCGCTACTCCCTCTCGCTTACTCCAATCAGCCTCCTTTGTGTCTCGCCACCCCATTCAATCACACAAGCAACCTGGTCAAGTCTGATGTCGACCCTACATGACCTAACCAGGTGGGGGCAGTATCCACATACGTCACTGCCCCTCTTAACCCTAACTTCCAACCCTAATCCAAGATTAACACGTCTCGCCAACAAGTAAGTCCGCTCCTATACCAATTGTTACGATCGTGGTCATCCCCAAAGTGCAAATTCACAATGAAAGACAATACCATTCAATTGCGAAAGAAATGAAAGCACTTGCAAAGAGATAGAGACCAGAAGAAGAAAAAAAAAAAAAAAAAAAAAAAGATGTACACCAGCAAGACCAGTGACAAATCCCCCTTCACTTCGCCAATCTTTTTCTTCTTCCAATAATAATAATAAGGACAAATATATTACCGACTCTGGTTCGGAACAGAAGAACTCAAAAAGTTTCTTCGAATTATCTTGCCATATATTCCTGTTCAAAGTAATAGTTGCCCATTACACGGCTCACTAACTCTACTTGCTTTAAGTTCTCTTACCTATTTGGCGGGGTTTCACTGGATCAAGTGAACAGTTTCCCCCGTGGACTTCCAGGCAACCTCAGGACACTAAGTGGGCGAAGCCGAAGGCCTGACTTTAGTGAGTCCACGCGTGTTTGCTTTTTTTGGGTGGTTTCAACAAGTTTTTAGTTGGTTCTTACGTCTCTTTTGAGATGAATAAATAGAAAACTCAATAAGTAAATAAAATACAATCGATTAATACAAGGAGGATGTATAGCCAATACGGGGTCTTGTAGTACAAGGTTGAATTCTTTTCCCAAATCAGTGCTTAAAAAGGAAATTCGAAGAAAAGGATTGGAGGTTAAACATAGAAAAACATAGAAAAATAAAGCAATCCATTTGTGAATCATATCATGTACCAAGTTACAAATTTGTTTAGCCAAACAATAAGGTCCATTCACACCGAGAATCCAATCTCTCTCATATCGAACATAATAGACTCGGACTTGTTCAATTATGAAATCACTACAAAAGTACGATAATTTTGTTTTATGCGCTTGAATCAAAGTTTGTATTTTGTTTTGAGAAGCTTTGCATACCTCATTCAATTGAATGTCTAATTCAGCCATATCTGTACGGATTACGAAATGAAATCGCTACTATTGATTTAGAAAGAACACTAGAAGAATAGTGGCTAATATGCCATAAAGGGCTTGTTGTTTTAAGCCAACTAATATAGCATGATGAGCCCAAGTTACAGCAGCTCCAGATGAAAGTAGAATAAGAGTATTTAGAAAGGGGATTCCCCAAGGATCTAACACATCAATACCTTTTGGAGGCCAAATAGCTCCAATTTTTATGGTAGGCGCCATACTTGAATGAAAGAAGGTCCAAAAAAAACTATTATATATTTATTGTCTATTCTATATAAAATATAGATTAAAATATATCAATTAGAAATTAATTATATATTGTATCTATCACTTTTTATTTATTATTTGTTTCTTTATATTATATTATGTTTATATTCCCTTATATCCCATATTATTTATTATATATTTTTTAGATGTATTCTATTATCATTATTATTATTATTATTATTTTTTATTTTGTTTTTGACAAACACACCCCTGCCAGTGTTAGAGGTGCTGTTAAGAGCAGACACCACTAACACCTGGGGAGAGGCTCCATCTATTGGTGGGGGAGCATCACCTGCTGGGAAACGGGCCCAGCGTCCCATATACAGATTGAATTTGCAGCATGTCAGAGTCAGAAACATTGTGGAAGAGTCCTGCCAGCATTGATTACCCTGGCATCCAGGGGATTGACTGAGCAGGAGGTAGGGGAGGGGGGGAACCTCTACACCTTGAAACCGGCGCCGGATACCTACTGTAACTCTCTAGTTCCTCCCTTCCCCCACCCAGTCTGAAATGTCGCTTCCCACCGCTGGAAACTGGGTCCAGCGTCCCATTTATACATCCTGTAGCACTTTTTTTAATAAAACCTGAGTTTCCGCCAGCATTGATTACCCTGGGTTCCAAGGGCCGCCTCTGCAGTCAGCCTTATCCGGTTCCTCTTCCTGTCCAATCAGTGAGCACCGTACCATTGCATATCCACCATCGCCAGCTGGTGGGGCGGGAAGGGGTCGGGGAAGTCTATGGAAGGTCGCAGCGGAATCTCCTGGCCCATAGCAGTCCAGTCTCTGAAACGGATGCAGTAGTCTCGTCTAAGTTACATTCATGTATATTCAATTTGTCCATTAGTAGTCAACATACCCATCGACAACATAGTCCAAGCAAAACCACTTAAAATCTTCACTAAATTATGACCAACCATCGTATTGGCAAATAAACGTATTCCTAGACTTGGTGCCCAAAAACAATAAGAAATTAGTTCAATACGAGCCCAAGTTACAGCAGCTCCAGATGAAAGTAGAATAAGAGTATTTAGAAAGGGGATTCCCCAAGGATCGAACACATCAATACCTTTTGGAGGCCAAATAGCTCCAATTTCTACGGTAGGCGCCAGACTTGAATGAAAGAAAGCCCAAAAAAAGGCTACACCGTGAGGTGTGAAGCTTACTCGTACTAATTACGATTCTGACATGGATGTATTAATAAAGGGTGGAAAGGTCGTAAAGTTGCTTTAATAGGCCTATTAGGATTCTTTGTTATATAGGTTTGTTATCTTGGAGTTGAGTTATAGGGAAAGGACTTCATAGCTATGGATGGTTTAATTAAAAATAAAGGTTTGTTTTGATATAGATAGGAACATAATTACATTATAGGAGAACAGGGCTTCGAACCCTTAACCTACGGTTTTGGAGACCAGTGTTCTACCATTGGAACTATTGTCCTCACAAAACGAAGTGTGATTGGTTTATGGAGTTTGCACCTATTTGTGTGTATTTGGGTAGGGTTTCCTTCTACTTTTCCCATCCTTACTTTTGTAGGTTTGCTGGTAAAAGGAATATCTGAAAAAACTCTCACCCATATTTTACCATTTCTCTGAAATTTCCTGGTGATGGCACGACGCGCCACGTTATGGTATGATTTTGTTCATTGTGTCAGAAATGTTTTTGTAGCTTTTTTTTGGGCTTTCTTTCATTCAAGTCTGGCGCCTACCGTAGAAATTGGAGCTATTTGGCCTCCAAAAGGTATTGATGTGTTAGATCCTTTTTTTTTGGGCTTTCTTTCATTCAAGTCTGGCGCCTACCGTAGAAATTGGAGCTATTTGGCCTCCAAAAGGTATTGATGTGTTAGATCCTTGGGGAATCCCCTTTCTAAATACTCTTATTCTACTTTCATCTGGAGCTGTTGTAACTTGGGCTCGTAAGAGCTTGTGGAGTTCCGAGAATATGCACTTTGCCTACATTGGTTTTGTATCCCGCTTTAAGCGACCCTCTTGCTAATATTTATCAAATCAAAAGTGAAGGCAGCTTTATGGGTCTCTACTGACGCTGAGGTGCGAAAGCATGGGGAGGCTTTGATTGAATTGAAAGCCCATCGAAATTGGTTGTGAGATGGCGCACCGTAAAAATAGGGATAAAAAGCTATTTTTATGTACAGAAGAGTTTATGCCCAATGGATTATTGGAACCATATTGATGTAAAGCAGCAATCTCAAGAATACTAGCACCTGCAATTATAAAAGGAAGTAAGTAATGAAGACTAAAAAAGCGATTGTTAACCTAAACCATCTGGATGAACCAGAATCAATATCCGAAGTTCCCTCTTACTGCTGACATCACCATAGGGCCACCATAGCTATGGCTTCCCCCCTTCTTCCACCTCTCACAAGCCTAGGCTATGGCGGACAACTGAGGGCTCTGTCCTCGTCCAAAGGACAACACAAAGCAGCTATGTTGCTGCTGACTAAGCCGCCATGCCTGACTCTGCTTCGAGCTTCCTTGGTGCGGCACTACCCCGACTGGGGCCTTCCAGATGCAGCGCCCAACAAGGTGATGAAGATGGTGTCCACCATAGCCAGGTAGGTACCTTGCCACTCTCCTCCTTCGCCCCCTTCTTCCTCCTCCTCAAGCTGGGCTGCTCGCCATAGCCAGGCTGAGCGCCCAGCTGCTCTTCATCTCCAGGCAGCGCTGCACAAGTCCAGCGCTTGGCTCAGCAGCATGTCGCCAGTCCTTGCATACCGCAAATGAGCAGGAGCTGCTTGCTCCTCCGGAAGATATAGCAGCCTACTGGCCTCTTGGGCGGTGACTTCCTAGGCCGAGCGGCCTCCCAGCAACGGACAGGCCCTAGACTCAGGCTACTTGGACTGGTACCGGCCTACCTCTAACCTACTGCTACTGGGCCTCTAAAAATGCCAACTTTTTGTCTTCTTCTGCCCGGCCTCCGGTACCCGGCACTCCTACCACTACTTGAGTGGTACCGGCCTACCTGCTACTTGTGTGTTTTTCCCCTGCTGCTCTTAAGTGTCGCGGGCCTACCAAAGTCACGGCCACAGGTAAGGACCGTCCCTGCGGGGCCTTTCAACCAACAAGTACCCTTGCGGGTGACAGACACACTCAGCCGACAAGCACTGAGACAGGCATGCAAACCAGCAGGCACGCACACACACACAGACTTGGAAACCACAGCAGAATGCGGGAATCTCAGCATTCATTCCAGCGGCAAATCCCAGAAATCAGCAGTGTTCTCAGTCTGTGTTTTGGCGGGTCATTACACAACCTTTGTTCTCGAGTTTTTGAATTTGAGTTTTTTTGGTGCGTAGACACAATGTCCTCTGCATGCTTCGCTATTTTGGTGCACATGGCACCCTGCATTTGTGTTTTAAGATCGCCATGTTTGCTCCTTAACTAGGAAAAGGAATCGTCATTGAGGCATGTGGTGAATGACCGGAATGCTTTGCGTGCTTTTGGCATTTTGTCAGTGCTCTTGAAGAGTTTGTCAGTCAATGGGTTCAAGACCAGGATGACTCACGTTTTGAGAAGCTCTCATTGAAAGTTCGGATTTATGCCATTTCGATGATTGAGAACTATTTGCTGTACACCACAGCCTCACTGAAAGCTGTCGCAAGCCAGGTATGCAGAAATCTCATTTGACATTTTTTCCTTCTGTTTTTCCCTTTTCACAGTGGTATGATTGTATCAGTTTTGCTTTGAAATCCACATTGCCTGGGCTCAAATGGCTCACTGAAGTGAGGATTGCATACAAAATCAATGCTGCAAACAGGGGGCTCGCCTTGCCTCCCTCACCTCGTGACTGATAGAGGAGCTGAGTGCTATTGTTTGCCATTGCTCTTCAAGGCTAGTAGCGGAATGTTTTGTGAGCCGGAGGAAGTTGTTTGTGAAACAGCTGGAGATATCAATAGGGAGAATGCTGATGTGATGACAAAAAATAGGGCGACAAAGTTGGGCAAACATTATCAAGGGTCTCTTTTTCAGCCAGTCAGCTGTGAACTGATTCCTAAGGAAACCCTAAATGTCCCTTGGGACATCCGTTAGCATTGGAAAGGTACAGAGAGGATTAGCATGGTGTAATGAACCCAGTCGTATTGAGAAGCCAATCAGTGTCGTGGTACAAGTCTGAACCCAGCAGACAAAATTATCTCTCCAAAATCGATAATGTGTCCTAGCCGAGCATATGTGCACTTTCCGAGAGCATGGTAACTTCAGAGAAGAGAATGAAACAGTGGGGAGAAGAAAAAGAGGAGGAGAAGAAGAAGAGTCCCCGTCAATCATGCATGGAGTCTCTTCCTGCCCACTTCCTCTTTGGGCAATATCCCCCCTGTTGCCACCTCAGCAATGCAGCCCTCTCTCTGACGGTCTCTGACATATATAGTGTGCAGGTCACAGTCAAGCGCCCATCCTCCATCCACATCAGCAGCCAATCAGGGAGGATGGTGCACATCATCCTCACCTTTCTGAAGACAAGCAGCAGATCACATGACATCACCATGTAAGTCCAGGTCAGCTTTCCCTCAAACCCTCGCCAGTCGGACAGACCTGATCCTCCTTCTCCTCGCCCAACCTCAACACCAATGTCCATAGGTTGAGGTAGGCCGGTACGAGTCCAAGTAGCCTGAGTCTAGGACCTGTCCGGACGATATCAGAGCCTGCAATGATGTTTCCCTCCGAAAGGGAGGAGGTACCGGTTGCTGGGAGGCCGCTCGGCCTAGGAAGTCACCGCCCAAGAGGCCAGTAGGCCACTATATCTTCAGGAGGAGCAAGCAGCTCCTCCTCATTTGCGGTATGCAAGGATTGGCGAGATGCTGCTGGAGCCAAGCGCTGGACTTGGGAAGGGCTGCCTGGAGGGGAAGAGCAGCTGGGCGCTCAGCCTGGCTATGGCGAGCACCCCAGCCTGAGGAGGAGGAAGAAGGGGGCGAAGGAGGAGAGTGGCGAGGTACCTACCTGGCTATGGTGGACAACATCTTCATCACCTTGTTGGGCGCTGCATCTGGAAGGCCCAGTTGGGGTAGTGCCGCACCAAGGAGCTCGAGGCAGAGTCAGGCATGGCGGCTTAGTCAGCAGCGGCATAGCTGCTTTGGGTTGTCCTTTGGACAGGAGTGCAGCGACATAGCTGCTTTGTGTTGTCCTTTGCACAGGAGGGCAGAGCCCTCAGTTGTCCGCCATAGCCTAGGCTTGTGAGAGATGGAAGAAGGGGGAAAGCCGTAGCTATGGTGGACCTATGGTGATGTCAGCAGTAAGACTGAACTTCGGATATTGATTCTGGTTCATCCACTCATTGTTATTATTATTATTTTTGGAAGAAGAGTAAGATTGGCGAAGTGGAGGAAGAGGAGGGTGGAGAGAGAAGGGGGATTTGTCATTGGTCTTGTTTCTTCTTCTTCGTCTTCTTTAGTAACTAAGAAATGCACTATAGAATAAGAATTAGATCTTCATTACTACAATATTCATGAATATATTTATTACCATAGAAGAATATATATTTTTCTATTTCCTAGGCTACCAGTCGGGCCGCCCAGATCCCGGGTGGCCAGCCCGTGCAAGGACTAGGGAAGGTCCCAACAAAATAATAATAAAAAAATAACAATAGTAAATCCAAAAAATCCACAAAAAAAAACTATGTTATGCAAATAAATAAACTGAACAACTTTTGCCTTAGGGTTGCATGGAAATTGTTCACCAAATTTAACATAAAAATAAATTTTATTTTTTTTATTTTTTATTTTTTATTTTTGAAATGTTTTTGGCCAGGCTGGGTCAGTGACCCCGGGCCACTATGGTAGCCTAGTCTATTTCTTAGTAAATTGAATTTGAGTATTAGAAAAAAAATCTACTCTCTTATTTCGATTATCATATTCCATGAGTTCATGGAATATGATAATCGAAATAAGAGAGTAGATTTTTTTTCTAATACTCGAATTCAATTTATTAAGAATCCATTATCATTTTTTCTGCGGCTTCTAGTTCACTATTGTTTTACGAGATGAACCTGGTTATGGTAAATCGAAGCATCTTTCGGAATTGCTCAACCCCCCAGATAATAGATAGCGCGCGATCGTACGCTGAGGTGCCTCTTACCGGGTGGTGGATATGCTCACCTAGGTTTGAATTGAAAGAGGCAGATTACCCAATTAATTGGGGACAGGAGGCGCACCAATGAATATGATTTTGTCACATGGAGGAATCAAATAAAGACTCTAGAATAGTCGATTTCGAAGTTGTTCCAATTCCACCTGTTTTTATACATTCTTCAACTATTAATGCCTATGAGTTTTACGGAGGGAAGTAGATATTGTTCCCATATCTAAATGTTTCAAAGAAATAATGTCAATTATTTCAGGATCATATCCCTTCTCTATTAAGGTATTTGTTGCTTGCAGTACATGATACCGCATACGTGAAAAAGTAAGTATAGTAATTTGATTTCCTGAGCATACTAATTCAACTTTTTCAAGAGGAACTAAGTACTCTTTCTGTGGTATATTTTCCTTAATATTGTAAAGAAGAACCATGTTCAAAAAAAAGAATTGGATTTTCATTGTGAATAGCTGATGTTATTAAACCTTTAGCATTATAAGGAGTAGAGAAAGCTTCTGAAGTCCTGGCATTGATTGAAAATAAGATTCTAATCTTTGGAACCAACCAGCGAATAGCATAAGCCCAGCCATTACCAAACCACCAATTGCAGTAGTATAGAGCTGTAGTTCGCTAGTAATACCACTGGCACGCCAAATTTGAAAAAAAAAAACAGAAGTAATTTGTATACCTTGGAAACGTCCTCCTACATCTCCATCAAGGATTTCTTGGCCGACAAGCCATACTGAATGTGGATAGGATCGTTTAACCAAGCTTCATGATTTGAAAAACGAGCTCCATGAAAATACATTCCACTACTCCAAATAAATATAAATGCTAATTGGCCAAAGTGAGCACTAAAAACCTTGCGAGAAATATCTTCCAAGTCACTAGTATCGATGTCAAAATAGTGCGCATCAGCATGAAGGTTCCAAATCCAAGTAGTTGTATTAGGTCCTTAGACAAATTTCTAGAGAAATGGCCTGGTTTTGCCCACTTCTCAAAAGAAGTTCTTATGGGATTCTTCTCAACTAAAATTTGAACTTCTTGTTCCGATCGACTAATAGTCATAGAGATTCTCCTCTCTTTAGACGAGGCAAAAGATGGCTAGAAATAATAAGGATAAGGAAGACATGCGATGATGTTAATATATGTATATAAAATATAAAATAAAAATATATCAATAATCAACAATTATCTTTTTCCTTTTGAATGTGTCACTAGAACAATTAATTCAAGCAGACTTTCGTACCTGTAGTATGGCATATATATAGAGCACTTAAACCACAAGTACACCCGCACCTAATCTAAACGGAGCTAAATTTCACTGCACGTCGAGTTTTGCCAAGCCGGGGTGCTGTTGTAGTTTATTTTTTGGTGCTCCTCCGAAATGAACAGCGTAAAGAAAAAAAAAAAGAAACAGCAAAACAAAAAATGCAAAAACCCTAAGGACGAGAAAGCAGTCGGATACAGAATCTGGGTTCAGTATGAGAGTATGCCCTCAGTGAGGGCGTTGTAGCTATACGGTCATCACGGACGTTACTTTGAGAAACGGGAAAAAAAAAAGAAGCAACAACAACAATATGGACTTGAAAGTTGCTAGATACCGGATCTGGAATATATGCCCTTTTTGACAAAGTGTCGGTAGTCCATGCAGTGCGCCCTGCCTCGCTGGCAAGGCAACAAAAAGAAAACAAAAGAAAAGAAAAAACAACAAAAGCAACGAAAGCTAATACTGGCCATAGTTGCAGGTAGATTCATTCCCCTGTGCACTTGTTTGAGCACACATCCTTCACGGCCTTCCCGAGCGTCGTTCCTCTCTTTGCAGTTGCTTTTTTTTTTCCCTTGGTTTGAACATTATCTTTCTGCCGACCCTGTCCCGACCCCTGATCTTTTTGGAATGAGTCGTTTTCTTGGGCGGTGTACTTGTAGTTTAATGGACCATTGGTACAAAAATTGTACTCTTTTCTTGATTTCAAACTTTTTGGTTACTATTGATGAAAAGACTGAGCCTTTCAATTAAGTGTTTAAAGCTTCTTTGCCAACATACATAACTTCTACTGTTATCTCATTAACTTCATTTTCTCGTGCAAATTTTTCTGTGTTTCTTTTAATTTTACTTCTTACAAAGCCCAAAATTTTCTTTATTTCGTTTAATCCATCTGCTCTCCAAGTAAGATCACTATTATTATTAGATAATGATTTAGTTATTACTTCTTTAGTATCATGACCGCCAAAAATCTCTAGTAGATGATCTTCCATTCCAAGTGTGAAAGAATTATATACTAGATCAACAATTTGATTAGCTCCTTCGTAACCTAAAAACGGTCGATAACCTAATGGAAAATTTTGAATATGAACTGGAGCAGAAATAACTCCACAGGGTATATCAAGACGTTTTCCAATATGACGTCCCATTTGAGTACCAAAGATTGCAACAGGCTCAATCCTAGCCCCATTTCCCTAGCCAATATCCTAGTCATATAAGCTGCATGATTGCCATCTCCGAAAACAATTGTTTTTTTCTCTGTCAAATTTTG